AAGACCAGCACTTAAGTTGTCAATCTTGATGTGCAGATTTCGTGGGCTTGTTTCGTGGCGCGAGCCTCAAAGTGCAGATTTCGCAGCAGACGCAGCATTGAGTGACCCTTGATGTCAAGACTTCGTGGCAGGCGCAGCACGTTGTGACCGTGAAATGCAAATTTCATGGCAGGCGCAGTAGCTTGTGATCCTTGAAGTGCGGAGTTCGTGTCACGCGCAGCAACTTGTGAACTGGTAGTTCTTGACGTGGAGATATTTTTTGTCACAGGTGCATCATTTTGTGGACATTGGTGTGCATATGTCGTGGCAGGCGCAGCGCTTTGTGCACCTTGAAGTGTAGATTGTTGGGCAGGCGCTGTACTTGATACGGTTCGACGTAGATTTTTATTTTCATAATGTGCTGCATGTGCTTCAAATGAATATGTGCTCTCATGCGCGTCGTCTTATATATGTGCTCTCGGTTGCCAGGGCAAACGGTACCATTGCATCATGACCTGCTGACACGTCAAGGACCTTGCACACATCAAGTTGAGGTGCTTACTGTGTGACTCGGTAGACGATTGCCTTCATATCCTTGCATAGTTTATTGGTGATTTGTGCGTACAACTGCAGTTTTAACATCATCCCTTCTCTATTATTCTTTTCGTTTGGACTTTTGTGGCTTTTGGGCCTTCCCGTCTGTGTTGTGTTTGAGTGTGTAGCAGATCAATCCAAGAAAATAAGTGTTTATCAAACACGAGTTCATTCATTTTCCAGCATAACCATTTAATATCAAATAGTATATATATGTACAGGCATATACATATAGCCGTTTTCAATGTTTAAACTACAGGTTAATTCAATAGTATTATCACTGTATGTCATTATATGTGCCCGAAAGTCATGATAAATTCAATACTATATCATACCATGTATATTTAAGGGCTTACGCCCGACAGCCGGCCAGGGTCGTCAAGTCAGGGGGCTGGGGGGCGAAAGCCGCGGTCGTGGTTGTGGCAAGTGGGTGGAGTTGCCGCTGCATAAGGTTTTGCAGTCGACCATTTCTCACAACTTTGAGTGGTCTGTCTTTACGACGGTCTGCTTGGATATGCTGTTTCATGACAGGCAGCAAGAGGTTGGAGTGATTGCATACTATGCACCTGTCTTGTTGCAATTTCGTGCTCATCTGCTCATCTCCGGTGGGTGGCCGGCTACCTGGAATTGGAGCATGACTTGGAGAATATTAACCTGTTGACTCCCGAGACTGCCCAAGGCTACACACTGGCAAAGGTGCACTACCTGGCTTTGCAGGCCAGGAAGCCAGACGATGTGGCTCCAGAAGGACAGCAGCTGGAGTTGGGCCGTCGGTGTGTGGCATGCACCCGAAGCAAAGAAGTTCTTTGGGTGTGGCTTCAGCGCTTGCGGCACTCGGAGGAGGAGTGGACCAAGAAGTTGCAAGTGAGGGGAGAAGATGGGTGGGAGGTCCTGCAGCTGACGTTCGCAGGTGTGGCCCCCGCAAAGCTTGACATGTTTGCGGCGGCGCTTTGACCATGAAGGCCAAGCGAGCAGGGTCGATCCTAGACACCTTCATCGCGCGGATGTATGGCGCTACCTCCGGCTCTGCAAAGATGGGGGCTCGTACTTCGACATCAAGATGTGCCTCTTGCGACCCCTGCAGCAGACTTTGTCGGAGATCTACCAGGAAGGCAACGGCACGCCAGAGGGACAGCACGTCGCGCAGTCCCGGGGGGTGGCGAAGGAGGGAACAATCCGAATCATCTCGGAATGCGTCGGCGACGATGATTCGCCTGACCACCACCACGCAGGCCAGCTGGTTCGGATTTGGATAGCTCCACCGTGGATGCGTTAGACACCTGCTCCCAGTGATCCCCCTCACCACAGCTTTCCACATCTAATTCCGCGCCAAAAACGATCAAAACTTCGTCCTCAGAGCTGCTCTCTCGGTTCCAAACGTCGCTTTGACAGCAGTCTGCGCCCCCAACCAAAGCCATCTCTGGCTATTACAACTAAGCTACACCTAAAATGTTGCAAGCATGCACATGACCTGAATACTTGCAGCTCCTCCGGCGCAACGATATCCGTCCGGTGTCCATCGTTGAGTCGTGTCCTCGCTGCCACTGCACGCAGCCGGATGTAGCAAAGTTCTCTGACGCGCTCCCCCATCGGCTGGGGTCTCCGTAGCCATTTTGGCTCAAGAATACCTATTTGCTTCTCTACGCACCCGCACCGCGACCAATCCGCCCGATCCTGACATGGCACTTCAGGGTACGCCAGCCGCAGGAGCCGCTCGGTGCCCAAGTGAGGGCCAACACTGTGACGCTGTTGGCGGCACCGGGATCCGAATACCGCGAGGACAGCAAGAGGTACAACGCCAGGAATCCGGGGTTCAACTACGCGGAAGCGGCTACAGAGCAGGTCGGATTGGCCTTCGCCCATGCACGAACGGGGGGACCCGGCCAACAGACGCGCCATCAACAGGGAACGGCGACCCCGCTAGAGCTTGCTGCCAGCGTGAAGGCGGCAGCTACGCAGGCGGCAGGTGATCCCTCGGCAGCTGGAGCCTTGGACATTGACGCCCCTTCGGTGGCGATGAGTACAGCCCGAGCTGCTGCGAAGGCAGGTGCTCAGAAGCCGCCTCGTGGTTCGCTCCCCACTCATGCTTGGGTGTGCCTTTTGAGTTGTGGCACTTGCAACTAACTTATTCGGAAGTTATAGAACTTAAGAAAACAACCAAAATAACCTTGAAATAAGTTCGAAATAACTTCCAATAATAGCTTCAATTTTTTGTTTGAAAACCCTTCAACTTTTTTTGAAAACCCAATAAAAATTGCCTATTTTCAATATATTTTTAGAAAATCGTTGCCGCTCGCTGAGACCAACCTGCTCAGTGCAAAGCGGTGAACACCGCACTTTCATGTAACAACAGAACCCTGTAGAGGCATCTCCTTGTTTCTGTCACGCGCTATCAGAGAAGGTAGATTTGGCCATCGTCTGCGCATGCGAAAGAGACAGCGACCATGTGCATTACAATCTCGACAGGAATCAAGACTGCACGGTTCCCATTGCTCCACTTCGACCAAGACATCTCGGGGCCGCAACTCAGTAAACGGTCGTGTTGTAAAGCCAAGACCTCACCACTGCCATTGCGAAGCATGCACGCCATTTCCTGACCCATAGCTGGCGGTTGGTGTGCTGGAAGTCGAGCTGGCCATCCGCCCACGCATGGACGCTACTGTAGAGAAAAACAAATCCGTGTCAATCGGTGGCTTGATGGGCTCCTCCTTTGCAAAGACCCTCTTGTAGTCTGAGAATTCCATAGGGTCAGAAGGGAGATCTTCCAACAAAGTCTTGGGTGGCTTTCCGCCCCCACTGTGCAAATACTTCTTGAACAAGGGTTTGGAAGCCTTCAACGCATGCCCTTGCTCTTGGAGAACCAAAGCCTGACCATCGCTGAGGGTTTTGGACCAATCACCCCAGTAGACCAAAGCAACCACCACAGCTATTGTCTTCTCACTTGGTGCCCACAAACCCATATTGGATAGATGCCTTGCCAATGAAGCCAGTGCGCGCTCACACCGCCCATGATGACAATCTCCCAAAAGGAGAGACCAATGACTTTCGCACAGGTAATAAACAAGGCTTGTCCAGTCCTGCATGTTGGCCCTTCTGCTTTTCGACTCGGAGGGCAGATGGAAGTCATCTCCATCCACTTTCGCAGTCAAACACGACATCAAAGTATCTTTTGTGGACTGAGACAAGCATGTGCTGCTGACCTGGGAAGAGACAACTGCTGCATCCTCCACAGTGAAACTCACCGTCTCCATGATCTTCAACAATTGCGCTTGCTGCTTCTCCTCCAATGCAGCAGCGTTGGAAAGGTGGCGAACATTCGACAGGAACTTGTCCGTCGCTGTGAGCGCCTTCTGCAAGGCGGCCAGTGTCATGGCTCCAAACCCCAAACCTGCAGAGCCAATCCTTTCAGGGCGGCGCGATATTTGAGAACCGCATGGCGTTGAAAACCGCACCATGGCGGTGAAAACCGCACCATGGCGGTGAAACCGCATTATAAGGCGGTGAAAACATGGCGGTGAAAACCGCATTTTAGAGCCATGAAAACATGGCGGCGAAAACCGCACCATGGCGGTGAAAACCGCAATGAAAATGGCAAGCCAAAACAGTTATAAAAACACATTATATGAACTGAGAAGGTTGGTTCAGCGGCGCAACTTTTGCCTATCAACCAATTAAAAAGCTGGTCGGTTTTCTATAGAAAACCGACCAGATTTTTGTGAAAAATAACTTCAAAATAAGTTCAAAATAACTTCCATTAAGTTAGGGGAAAAATATTGGAACAAATTCTTACGTAACTTGTAACTTTCTGCAGAAGTCTTCAGAAGTTACACTACTTCTAGTCTAGTTAGACAGGTTCTGAGCAACATGTTGAATTTGCAAGTAAGTTACAACCCCGACTTTTAAGTCCTCCTACTCCAAAAAGCACACCCAAGTGCCCAGTCTCTGAATCAAGCTTCGGATGCTGTGTGTGAGGCTCCCCGGGTGATTCCGGGCGAGCGCTACGCAGTCCCCGCAATTGCGGTGAACGGCCACATCCCTTCACAGTTCGCGCTGCTGAAGCTGCTGTCAGACAATCTTGGCCAGCCCTACCTCGACAACCTCTACAGGACGCACTTCAGGAGGCCGGTCTATGACCAGATTATGGGGACACGGCTTTGACCTATGCCGCAGAGAACGGCCACTTTTCCCACTGATGCTTTCTGGTATGCATTCAGAGCTGAGTCTGTCTTGCCGAGTTTGTGGGTCCAGTCTTTTTGGCTCCTTTATCGGCAGGACCTGCGTCCCTTTTTGCATGGCTCAACTCTACACTTGCCAACGCCGGAGAAAGGATGGGATCAAAGTGTGGCTTCATCTCTTGCTACTTGGGAGGAAAAGTTGGAGGAACCAACTTCGGCCTGTGTGGAAGGATTCTTGTCTCCTGCAATGTCATGACTTTCAAACAGCACTATGTGTCTGCCTATGTGGCGGTCTCTACGGAGGTAGCTCTGCTGGCTGTTCAGGAGACTCGACTCAAGAAGCTAGCCTTCCAAGACGAGCAGTATCTGATCAGAAGTCACCCAGCTCACAAAGGACAGGGAGGAGTTCTCCTTGCTCTACATCCTGAGCTTTTCAAGATCTATGATGCCCAGGGACAACGCATTACACTGCAGGATCAACATTGGACTGTGGTAGCCAGCAATCCGGAGTGCATTGTGACCAGATTGTGGTGTGGGCCAGTGGACATCCTGATAGCAAATCTACATGTGCCTCATAGTGGGAAGGAGGATATGGTGATTGCGCAGTACTGGACCGATTTTCATCAAACCCTTCCTAGCCAGTTGAGGAGCAAGCCGATGATTTTGCTGGGTGACATGAATGCCCGCCTTGGCTCAGCATGTGTTGGTGGACATGCAATGGAGGAGGAGAATCAGGCCGGTACCTGCGTGATCATGTTCTGCGATGGCAGCAATGGATTCCTGCAACGTTTGAGGAGCATCAGCGTGGCCCTACCTCAACGTGGTTTCATCCTAACGGTGGTGAGGCCAGGCTTGACTACATTGCCGTGCCTCAAGACTGGCACTACACCGAGGCCAGTGCATGGGTGGATTTGGAGCTCCAGGCGCATTCCCATCTACACGATCATAGAGCTACATGTCTCAAGCTGGTAGCTGGCCTACATGGGGCGCCACCTCTTCAGCGGCCTCATAAGACACCTCCGCTACAAGTTCTGACCGAGCAGGATGGGGAAGCTCTCATGAGTCAGGCAGTCTACCAGATGGCTCCCATCCACTGGCAGTTGGATGTGCACCAACATGCTCATGAGCTTGCGGAAAGATTCAAGCAAGGAGTCATGCAGATCGTGCCCAAGAGGCAGCGTTTCCACCGCAAGACCTATTACCAGGAAGATACTAAGGTTGCTGTCATTGAAAAGGCTGCTTGGAGAAAGGCAGTTCTCCACTGTCAGGCACGGCGTAAACGACATGAATTGCGGGCTTGCTTTTATGGTTGGAAGATCAACTTTCGTGGCCCTGCTGACTGGGAGTGGTTGGAGCCTTATGAAAAGCAGCTGGCTAGGGATTGGAGCATTGCCTTCACCTCATTTCGTCGAGCTCGAAATCTAGCCACTACTTTGGCACGCAGGGACACCAATGACTTCTTTGAAGACTTGAGGCAGAAATGGAAGGAAGCTGATCTTGATCAAGACTCCAAGACGTTATGGCAAAAAGTTAAGCACTTCCTGCCCAAAGCTCAACAGCGCAAAGCTATGCGCAGTGCACAGCAACAAGAATCTATGAGGGGGGATCTATGAGAGCCCTATCTCTGTGACTTGGAGGCCGGCACGCCAACGACCTTACCTGACCTCTATGCAGAGATTGTGGAGCAGCCTTCTAAAACAGGCAAGGGTGTTCGGCATTTTGCTGACTTGCCTACTCTCACGCAGATTGAGACCTCCATGCGTCACACAAAGCCTGGTAAAGCAGCGGGCCCTGATGGTTTGGGTTCTGATTGGATCCACTATGCTGCTCCATCATTAGCTCCATGGGTCTATGACATGGTGACCAAGATGCTCACAACTATGGAGGACCCAATCCAATGGAAAGGTGGAGTGCTCTACATGTTGCCAAAGACAGTGGCACCCAAAGAGCCAGCTCACTTTCGTGGCATCATGCTGCTTGGTGTGCTTGTGAGAAGGGTTCATGCACTCTTTCGAGACACGTTGATGAATCAAGTCCAGCTCACAAGTCCTGTGGGGCAGCTAGGCGGATTCAGACAGCAAGAATGTCTGTATATGGCAGCCTCTACATCCGGACACTCATGAAGCGTGCTTACCATGCAGGTCTTCCTAGTGCGGTGATCTACGTTGGCCTGCGGGCAGCTTTTCGCTCTTTAGTGCGGGAGCTGGTTGTTGGAGCTGGGTTGGGAGGGCCACAGGATTTGAAAGCCTTGCAACGTGTGCTGGCTGAGGAGTCCTTTGACCAGAGTGTGGTGCTTCATTTGACTCAGTCTGAAGGGCTCTTACCTGCAGGACCACTTCGTGAGCTTCTGAGGGAATTGCATAGCTTCACTTGGGCCACCATTCATGGCAGAGGAGTGCGGACGGCCCGTGGCTCACGACCTGGCAGTCCATTGGCAGATGCAATGTTTCATAGTCTCATGAGCCCCATCGTGAAGCAGATCGAGGACTATGTGGGCGCGCGTCCAGTGCAGGACCAGGCACAAGCAGCCCTGAACACTCAGGCTATGCAAATTGTTTGGGCTGATGATTTAGCAGTCCCTCGTGTGGCTCTGGACAATGATCAAATTGGCAGTGAGGTGATTGAGACCTTTCAGCACATCTATGCGGTTTTTCATGCTCATGGGATGACCTTGAACATGAGCAAGGGCAAAACGGAGGTGACCATCACGCATGTGGGGAAAGATTCTAAGTCTTTTCGTGAAGGTCTACGGCAAGCGCCTTATCTCCCAGTACCACTCCAGGACCAATGCCAGCAGGTGCAGCTGAATGTCAGCCAAGTCTACAAGCATCTTGGCACTACTATCACTACAGCGGGGCGCTTGAAAGTGGAAATCCAAAGGCGAGTGGGCCAAGCGTGAGGCACATTCAGGCAGCTAGCACAGCCTATTTTCCTCAACCGAGCCCTACGTGAGCGGACTCGATTATTTTTGCTGGAATCGTTGGTCCTCACGAAGTTGCTCTATGGTGCTGGGGCGTGGAGTGGTCTGTTGGAAGCTGATCTCCGAAGACTACAAGTTTGCTATATGGGTCTACTCCGGCGAGTTCTTGGTCAGGTCAAACGGCCGGGTCTGACAGTGCTGAGTGATGGTGCCCTTTGGCAGAAAGCACAGTGTGCTCCTTTATTGGTGCGCTTGGCTCAGCAAAGGTTCTTTTTGGGAGCTCGGATTGCTCGCGCGGCTCCTGATTTTCTATGGCATGAACTTCAATTGGAGCATAAGGAACTTCCACGAAGCTGGATGTCCGAGATTGAGGATGACATGGCTTGGCTGAGCTCTGTGATGCCTCTGGCTGGATGGGGCTCTTCGGTGCATGAGCTATGGGAAACCTGGCGTGCGGGCAAACCTGGCTGGCAGCATCTCATCCGGCAGGCAGGTCAGAAGCATGTTTGTCTTTTAGCACGTCAGAGCCCAGAGGACAAACATCGAGGGGAAGAGGATGACACTCTTCTTGACCTTTGGCTTCAAGCCCAATGCCGGTGTCATTGCGGGCAGGCCTTTGCTAATGAGCGTGCTCTTCGTTTGCATAAGGTCAAGCTGCATGGCTGGCGGACCGGGCAGGCTACATACATGGTAACTCCTGTGTGGTTTGCTTGCGTCACTACTGGACATGCAATAGGCTCAACATGCACCTCAGATACATTCCAAGAAAGGGGGTGCCCAATGTGTGTGCTGCTTGGCTTCATGAGTTTGGGCGCCATGAAGCCTCTCGCACTGATCTTCCGGAGGACAGCTTTACAGGTGTTGCTGGAATGGTGCGGCAGGAGGCACTGGCACTATGTGGCCCGCGCCCCTTTGGTGCTTGTTTGGCAGATGTCCAATGGGCGGAAGATGAATTCCTGGCCCTTGAGGAGTCTTTGATGGAGGCTGGTCTGAACTTCCACCCGGATGAACAGCTTCGAGACTCCATGTTGGAGGAGATGCGAAGTGCAGCTAGAGCAGGGGAGTGACGGGCCCAGAGTTCTTGCAGGAGTGGCAAGACTTTCCTTGTGGAGAGATGCTGAGCCTGGCCTACCTGGGGTTGCTGCAATGACCGAAGAGTTCCTGGTGACTGGTTGCATGGGCTGCTTGCTTCTGAGAGGGTAGGTCAGGTTTTGCATGTTTTTGCAGCCAAGTCCACACGGTGTCCGTATTTTGGACCTCAGGAACAGGGTGGACTGCATCGTACGGTTTTGAGGCCCCTTCAACCCTTAGTTGAAGGTGCGGCGCTCATTCCGATCAGCCAGAAGACTCTGTGTCAGTTGAGAAGTTTCCATGCCTCCTGACATGAGCCTGGCTGAAATTCAGCTTTTGGCTCCGGCCGCTTAAACGCCACAAGTCCGAGACTTTCAGATGGTGCGGAATGAAAATGATGAATTATAGATATACATTGTATATAACAATTTTTTCGGCTTACCAACAACAACACTTGTTCAGGTGATGTGATCTCCTCTCACATTTTTGGCCTCCTCTCTCTTCACGCGGCTTGCTCCGCTCTCTGTACTGTCACGCGGTCTGCGCGCGACTATTCATTTTTGTAGACATTGCAGTAAATTGATCGCCCACTAGGTCACTAGACTCGACCATGCAAACCTGAAAAGCCTGTGTGTTCACCAACTCTTGTGTTTGCTCTTTCACACTGTTTGAGTTGTTTGGGGTCTCTTGCGGGGATAGCCTCCCATGTTGGATCATCTCTCCCAAAAAATTTAACAAACCCAATTGGCTCATTCACTTCGGCACGTTTTTGGTGTTTTTCTTCCCTGCGGCCAAAGGTGGAGTATCCCCGAGAGGGAAAAGTACTCGGAACGGCTTTTCGAGCTGCAGGCCTGTGGCAAATCACTGGTGGTTGAATGGCGACCGAACAGCCCGAACACGACCTGTTTGGGACTGGCATTGACCGAGCAGAGCACTTGGGGTGGTTGAAAGGGATCAGTGTAGGGTTGATATTCCATACGATTCCTTCCTACCAGCTCGCGCCAAAGATTGACCAAGAAAGCTGTTTGCCATCCCTTACATTACCTCCTGTGCCAGACACTCCCTGCTCGAATATATGATAGCACCGCTAAGTTTCACCCCAATGCCAGTCCCATGGAGCCCTCGGCGAAATCACCTTTGACCGGGAAATCCACCTTTGACCCTTTGAGAAGGTCTTTCAAGTAAGTTGCCCTCAGCTTTGGTTGTTTTTCTGTGAACATCCGCACTTCCAGAGACAACCACCCTCAGGGGTGGTTCAAAACGGTATACACTCCTTGAAATGAGAGTTCACCACCTGCTTGGTGGGCAGAAAAAGGGATCCACGTAACCATGATTACTTCAGGGAGTGTACTGCACTGCAAGTCGTTTTTCCAGAAATCTTGCATCGAACATCAAACAGTAACAGGCACCCATTGAGTGGGGGGATTCTCCAATGTTGTGGCACGGCACGGCAAAGAATGTGCCACCCAACCAGCCGGTGCCAGGGGATAGACCCTCATTAGTGGAGGCCATTGTGCCAACTGTAAATGGTACACACCCCAAGAAATGGGCACTTCTTGGCTGCACGGCCCAAGTCTGGGTGTTGTCAGGTATCTCTTCTCCAAAATCAGATCCGTTCACCACGTCAATGCCACTGACCCTGCCTGCCCTGGGCCCCTCGAGCGGTTCAGTCAGGCGCGCTTGCGAGTGCTCATGGGCGGCAAGGCGGCGGAGGAGGGGGCGCCCTGCGGCTGCGGCGGTGCGGCCGAGCCGTTTGGATCTGCGCTTCCCACGAAGAAGGTTCCAAGGGGCGGGTTCCCGGGAGAAAGCCAAATGCCCGGACCCGAGTCCGGACCCTCCATGGCAAGGGGTCGAACCCTGTATCACTAAGGGAACCCGGGGCCCCGAACCAAACCCTTGTTTTGTTTCGGGTGCGGATCCTTAGGGTGAGGTGTTTTTGGGGGGCCTGACGAATCAGGCTCCGGCCCCCATGTTTTTTCAGGCTCCGGCATGGAGACCTCGCACAGGAACCTGTCCCGGTGGATCTCGCCATCCCGCCCTTTTTACAACTTGGATGTGCAAAGTCGAAGACACTTGAACCACTGAAGTCCACAAACGTGTGGACCTATCCCTCTTCAAAGACCATCATGAAATAAACGGTGAGTTGGTGATGCCAAAACACTGCCCAAGCAGGTCAGTTTTCGGCCAGGTGTTTAAGTGGGATTTTGGACGTAAGAGGGTCAGCTCCAGACCCAGACACTCCATGCATGGCATATACATTGACCCCTTTTTCAACCATCCCAATGTATGTAAATATATCAGTCCCATGGGTCGTAGGAGACGCACCGGTCCCCTCACGGTCCAGAACTCCCGGTCCCCAGAATCCGAGGAGATCGAGGATTCTCGGCGCGGCGCGCTGAACACGGTGAAACGCGCTGAACATGGTGATCCGCGCTTCCACGTGTCGTTGAACACGTGCTCCGCGTCGCGCGGTCCGGCGGCGGCAGGAGCTGATCTTCGGCCCGGAGAACGTCACTGCGGGCTGTACGTCGGATCTTCGCCAGGCGCGGGACGTCTGAAGGGGACGGGCGGAGTCTGTAGACCTGTGGCGGTGCTGTAGTAGACCGCTTTAGGACTGTGGCCGCAAGAGTTGAAACAGTTTGTACCTCATATGGAGTAAGTGACCGAACCAGCCGGATCTCAAGTGAAGGTCACTTTGGAGGTCCTGGAGGTCCGCTGTTCTTGTTCGGGGGTTGTCCCATGTTCCAATGTACTTGAATCAGAAGTTCGGTCGAGGCAAACCGGGCGTCTTTTTGCGCTAGCCGCTAGGGCAAGATGCTAAACAGAAGAACGTTTAGATCTCCCCCGATTAGGCAACTCTTTAAACTCTTTTATAGTTATAAGATAAGTTCCGCCAGATGCTCTTTCAGAGCTTTTTGGTTGTTTCTTGGTAACACCTGATGGTGCACTGCATGCATGGTTGAAACAAGGGAACTCGTAGGAGAGCGGTAGAGGCCAATCGGCCAGTTCCCAACAAAAGTCGCCAAGGGAATGCGGATTTGTTCAGAGGAGAACTCTTCAACAGGCTAGAGAGTGACAGGGTCTTCTCTCTGATTCTGCAGGTGCACGTTCTCATTGACGAACATTGAACCATTTGGGCGCAGGCACTATACATTTTGCTTATCCCATCTCAAAACCTTACAGACAACTGCCTGGTCCCAAGTCAATGTTTGAAAAGAATGATCATGCTGTGCCAAGCACACGGTTTCAGGCGTCCACGTGCACCTTATCCTTCCACCTCGGGATAGTTTTGCAAGGTTTGGCATCGCAAAGTAGCCTTGACCTTAGTCGACTTCCCTTCAAGCGACTTCTGTCCTCGATCTCGCCAAAACACCACCGGCATGTCATGCATGGCACTGAGACTGGCCTAGGCGACAGGCCTTGCCAGACGCATGGTCATGAACTTTGGCATGTCTGCGCAGCAGCCACAGCAGGCGCCGGTTGTTTTTCTCGCCAGTCGGGTGTGGTGGAAGAATGCCCCAACTGGTGGCTGGGCGCTCCAAATACCTGGAGTCCGCCTGTTCGTACCTCGGAAAACTGGTACTTGGGATTACTTGGGTTGTTTTACTGTCATATCCCATGATGACAGGTACGAACGACGTCCGGTCCAGGTAGGCTGTTTTGAGGACGTTTTGCGGACATCGTTGGTGGTGACTGGTTCGCTGAAGAATTCACTGGTGACTGGCTCGCTGCGATGGCAGTGGATGCAGGAGAGTTGTTTGGCTTTCCGTGTTGGATGATTCTGGGATGGAGCACACTGTCACACATCCCACAGTTTTCAGGCCTGAAAAGCAACCTACCACTCCATGGAAAAGTCGATAATCTTACCCTAGGGATCCAGTCGTACCTTCTCGGAAGTTGCTTGGAGACCCTCCTCGCGCATACATAACAGTGTCTTCAATGACCTTCTGAGAAGGTACGACTGGATCCCTAGGGTTAAACCTGTTTGGGGAGATTGGGGACACCCACTTGTGAAAGGCACAGGTGGAGTTTGTTAGGTGAACCATTGATTTCCCAGGGAAAGCGCTCGAAAGGCAGGGCAAAAGGGTGTCAAGGAGCCTAAGGAGGCCAAAAGGAGGCCATTCGAAGACCTGAAAAGGAGGCCTAGTTCGCCTCTTCGCAGCTCCCATAGGCCTGGGGTCTGATGCTGTAGTGTTCATGTGTTTTTTCTTTTCTGTCTCCCGAGCCGGGTCGTGGGTGGCAGACATGGTGGTCAATGGTCAACCGACTGGCATGATGGATCGCAATGAGTCGTTTCAATCGAGTTGAAACCACCAACCACTAGGAGCCAGTTGTTACCGTGCTGGAATCCTTTGCACACGTTTGGATCCTTTGTACCAGTACCGTTTGTACCATGCTGGATCCTTTTTGCTTGTGCTGGTTGGCTGCTTGGCGTGGTTTTTTTTGTTGGCCCACGTTATATGACCAACTGCCTTCCTCGAACCCTCCCTTTTGACGGACCATCACCAGACCTACCTTAGCGAGCTACGGAGACCATCGGGACATCCCACACATCCACGAGCAAAGCCTCACATCAACAAAAGAACAACCTCGCGGGTGGGTTTCGGGAGTCTGGCACCAACAGACTCGGCACTGGCACAAACGCACACATCGATGTCGTGAGCAGAGCAGAGCCTCCCCGATTTCCTCCCCAGCGATCGCAGTCCGGGCTCCTTTCCTTGGATGTGGACGAGTATGCCGTGCTCTCCGACCAGGCGGACGGGGGATGAGGGCTGTGGGGCGGAATGTGAGCTGTAGCGGGGAGCAGCTCACAAGGGTGGTATAGGTGACACCAGCATGTCAGAGCATCCCAGACCTTTTTTCATGTGTGACATGGGTGTGTGCACGACCATATATTCTTCTACTGAATTGAGGTATTATAATGCTTGACTCCGGACCACCTCGCTTTGCGCGTTGGCCAGTGCTTGGTTCCCTATCCTCCACGCACACACACACA